ATTTCATCTGAAATATTTTTTAAAGAAGGGCAGTTTATTTTAAAATATCAGTGTTTACAATACATGAATTGTATGCTTTGATAGGGTAAAAAAAATTTTAAGGTTAACATAAAAATGCTTGGGGGAGTTCAGTTTTTCAAAATTCTTTTCCATGGTATGTAACCAAAGGAACAAAGTATGAACATCACTGGTATAAGCTTAGGTCTTCCCCACGGCACCTGACATGCCCTGGGGAGACTCACCGAGCAACTGAGGGCAGCTAGAGAAAGGGGCACCTCAGCACCCAGCACACACGAAGGAGCTGAAGACAGCTGGGAATGCAAGTGAGGTGAGGACAGCAAGGCCATGGCAGCACTGGGAGGGAGGCGATCCCAAGGGGCAGTGGGGAACTGCTCCTAAATGACAGGTAAGAGGAGGACAAGAAGGGTGGTCGTCTCACCACACAGAAGTTCAACTGCTCAGGACAAAGCACAGCCCCAACGAGGACGGCCACTCAAGGGACGGATGGTTTTCATTCCTTTAATTATTTCAAGGGACTCCTCAGAAACACAGATCCCGCACACTTGCGGTTTTATTTTTCTTCAAATTCTTTGTTAAGCAATGAACTTCTAAAAATCATACTAATTAAAAGGAAGAAAATGTGACTTGGCTGCTTTCTCATATTATTTAAGAATATTAAGCTCTCACATCTTTGAAAATGATGAACCAAAATAAGTACAGAAAAGGAAAGGACACCAGGAACTACAACTCCTCCCCACAAGTAGCGACAGTAGCACGAAAAACCACAGCAGATCTCACAGCCTAACTTCTCTCTGGCCTGCTAAACTTCTCTACCCCCACGAGGAGCTCTTGGTCCCGTCTTTGCTGAATGGCTCCTGCACAAAGTCTGCAATGCCATCCCCTTTGTGTGAAGAAAGAAAGCCGTCACTCTGGCTTTGGATAAAATACCTCTACCTTCAGCCTCTGGAGGGGTCTGATGAGCAGGCTACTTATTCAGTTTTGTTGGAGTTTCCAGTCTCCTGCTTGGAACAAGAAAAAAGTCCTATGTCCAGCCTAAACATCTTGGCTATCCAAAGGAAAAGGAATTCCGCAATCAAGAAACTCTGATGACACCACACAGGTACCATCTAAATCAGACTAGTGAACAGCTGGGAGGTGGGATGCATGGCTGACAACTTGTTTGTCAGACCATAAAGTGCTGAGGGGGAAAGAGAATGTGGGGTCTGCAGAAACACAGAGCTGCAAAGACCCAAGGGCTGCATGTCTGTGGGCCAAGCAGTGGGAAGCATGCCCTAACACAACTGTCACCATCCTACCCATGGCCTCCTAGCTACAAACCTAATCTAAACTACCTTCAAAGTACATCAACCTGAATGAAAGAGGGAGGAGAGATCACCAGACTCAGAACAAAGGACTCTAACACAAAGTCTGCCTTACTGTCTCAGACTACATTTCTTCCAAGTAGAACAAAATTAGGGTAGAAGACCCACAACTGTGCTCTTGTGATGGAAATATAAGTTTATCCAAGTGACGAATTATCACATCAAATCAAGAATGCTTCCTGGTTTTACCGTTTTCCTTCTTTCAACCAGTCAGGCTGGCACAAAGAATACCGAATCTGGTATCACAGGATCCTTTTCTTCTAGGAGCCAGCGCGTGGCAAAAACAAAAAGGTCGTTTTAGATTCCACAGTATGGTTCAGCCAATGAAGCAAGATCCACAGGCTGCCACTGCAGAGGCTCACCAAAGGCCCACTCAACCCAGCCCAAGGGGTCAAGGAAACCCTCAAGAAGGAAGTGACCGCAGGAGAAGCCTGGAGAACAGAAGAAGTCAGCTGTGTGAAAAAGGTGGCCGACCTGAGGAAGAGAGAGATTCAGTATGGCGGAAGCACAGAAGTACACGAGGAAGAGAGGAAGCTGGCTGGGAAGGAAGGCAGAGGCTGGATCACGATGAGCCTCGTATTCCACACTAAGATGTCTGATATTTAACTCTAAAGCAACTGGGCAGCCCTTGAGAAAGGTTAAGGAAGCCAGTGGCACAGTCATATCTGATTCGTGGGAAGTCCTGTCAGCTAGCAGAAGCACAGACCTGGGACTAGAGAGGGATGAGGACAAGGGCAGGGAGCCCAGTCTAGAGGCTGCTGCAGTAACACAGTGGGGAATTGTGAGCCTGAACTAAAGCAGCAGCAACTGCAATGGGAAGGAGTGGTCAGGTTCAAGGCTGGGTAAGAGGGAAAAGTGAGTACACCTTGGAATGTCTGGATGGGATGGTGTGCTAGTAAGTGTTTAACATTCATCTGTTTTTAAAATGCTCTGATTTGCAGCATTTGCCAATTTCCATGGTGTAAATACTCCCACTATGGCTATGTCAAGCTGCCAATATGATGTCACTGAACCTGAAGCTGGGAAGAAATGTTATCTCCAGCACCACTGCCCATCTGTGAGAAGAGGAAAGAGTCTAGGCAAATCCAAAGCCCTCCCTGGCTTAGGGACCTAGGCAGGGTAGGAAATGCAGAACGTTAACTGGAATTCTTAAGTTCTGTCTGAGACATACTGAGTCAGGGGAACCTATATCCTTCGCTGGAAAGATGTCCAGCAAGCAGTTGAATACATGAGCTTTGAGTAGTACAAAGAAAAATATGGTTAGATATGATAGTTGGCATAAATGCCCTGAGGAACTGTGTACAAACCAAAAAGATATGACGGTAAAGGAGGCACCCTGAGAAATACTACACTGGAGCAACAAATAGAAGTTTATAAAGATGTCCGAGAAGGAGCTTTCAGAAGGGCAGGATTTCTCAGGACCAATCTGCCAAAAGCCAATTCACCAAGTAGCCGATTCTCTGATTATCATTTCACCAAAGAATTAATTCATTAAAGTTACCAATCTACCTACTTTTTAAATTGATTTTTTTCTAAATATTTATAAACCAATTGCTCATTAGAGGCACTTATTTTCAGCAAATTGCTCGTTTGAAAATAGAAGGCCAAAGAGTTTTTGAAAAGCATGGAATTCTTGATGACAGCAAGTGCCACATACAAGGGCAATAGCCCAAGAAGGGAAACGTCCTTAGGTCACTCTACTGTGATGCTCCTCAGAATGGCTGGGTAGGAGGAAGATCCCAATGGGAGAGCGAACAGGGAGAGAGGCAGAAATGCCGTGGAAGTTTTCGCCTGGAGAGAGGTATTGGTTGTTTTCCCTTTTTCTGTGAGACTCATATATGTTTACATGTTGAGTAGAACGATCTAGCACTCAAAGAGAAACTGAAGCAATAAATGGAGGGGTCAGAGTAACTGATGCCCTGATGTTCCAAAAGAGAAAAGGGAATGATATCTAGGGCAAAAGTAAAGGGGAAGATAGAGTTCCCTAAGCTAAGTCTGGAGCAACCCTGACTTGGGTCAAATTTCCTTCTGCCAGGATAACCAAGGTATGGGAAATTCACTTAGAGGTTCTAATGCAATTTCATGAGAATCTTGTTATGACATCTTCTGAATGAAGCTGATCTGCACCGAGTTCACAAGAAGCAAGAGGAAAACCTGAAAGTAAGTCAACTTTGTTTCTTGTTTTTATAGCACTATCAGTTAAGTGTCTATAAAACTTGGTTTTCACCCTCCTTTTTCATGGTTCCAAATATCCATCTTCACTGCCACCTTCCTTCCTTTGTATTATCTCACCCCTCCTAATGGCTTCCTGCTTCAGGGGAAAAAAATGTTTCTTTTGTGTCTAGCACACTGAAAACTTACTTCAGTTTTGCCATTGCTTTTAATGGCAAAAACCGAAATTACTTTTGCACCAACCTAAATATTTGATGCCTATACTAATTTATTCTAGGAAACGTTAACTTTTCATAAACGCATCAAACTCTTTCAAATCAAGTCAGTGGCTTGCTTAACTAAAGAATCCCAATAATATTAAATCAGCACTATACCTTGCCAAAAATGTTACTTAATTGTTACTGAAGTGCTATCAATTCTCATAAATGAACTTACCATCTTAAACGTGTTTGGAGGTGGAGCAGCTAGGGGAGGGACAGCAGGGGGTAGGAGGATTGGGGAAGGATGACATTAGGAGAAATACCTAATGTAGAAGATGGGGGGATGAATACAGTAAACCACTATGGCATGTGTGTATCTATGGAACAATCCTGCACAATCTGCACATGTACCCCAGAACTTAAAGTATAATAGTAATTTTTTTTAAAAGACATGTTTAATTGTTTTCTAGTCCATTTAGGATATTCTCTGAATTAAAGCTTAGCAATTGCCCAAAAAGTCAGGGATAGAATCACAGAGGACTCCAGCATCTTATAATAATATTCTAGTTATCATTTAAAAAGTCTCTCCTGCCACTCTTTTCTGTAGGAATCCAATGAAGATGTGTGTTTGCTGTATTGTGTAAGTTTTATCTATCTCTCCTTTGCGGCCAAGGGCCAGGGAAGGGGCTGAAAAAAGAGAAAACCTCTAGGAGAAATCCCACACACACCTGGGGTGAACCACAAAGATGGTGCAATCTATAAGAATAAACTTAGATATGGTTATTATAGAGGTGGCAAAAAAAGAAAACGTCGGCACCTAGTGTATGGGTTCCATTCAGCTTTCAACAAAGCCAGGCAGTGGTGCTTTTATTTAAGGATTATATTTGGCTTTCTTTTACATACTGTCTAAATTAACAAATACTTCTGATCTTATGAGAAGTTATGCAAATATCAATTCTAAAAGGAAAATTTGTGACTCTTAGGGTAGAAACTCCTACCACACAATGTATGTAAAAATAATACAGCTGCCTGACAAAATGAGGATAGACGCTTCAAATAGGAAATTCTAAAAACACAACACTGCAAAAGCCAAAAATCCCAAGAGACCTATCATTAAACGATATATGTGTGGGTCACTAAAGGGACTCTATTTCATCTTCAAAATTAAATCTACTGGGAAACCAACACTAGGTGAATCACCAACATGAGACTTTTTTAAAAAAAGAAACATAAATTAAGGACCTACCGTCTGTCTGAGATTTACTGAGGAATATTGTGCTGGCCCGAGGATGATCTGAAGGATTGAATTCCATGTTCAAATCTTTAAAGAAAGAAAAAGAAAGTATATGAATAAACCATCTGATAACTAAGAGGAACCAAGATTGACTCAATTCTTTTTCAGCTTTGAATTGCTAATACATTCAAGGATTCTGGAAACCTATAGCTATTATGTTAATAGATTCTTCTGGTTCAATTCAGAACACTGCTATTTAGAAATCCGAAAATCATACATAAAAATTAGACAGTTGGCTGGAGATCTATTAGCCTAAAAAAAAACTCCACTTTCTTTTGAAAAAGTTCTCCTCTGTACCCAGTACACTACAAAATAACAGGACAGAGTTATGGCATGCCTTTAAAGAGAGTTATGTGCTACAACAGATTCATCAAAACCTTACAGTCAAGTACATGGTAGTTCCTTATTCAAGGTGATTAAAATAGGACTATCTCAACTCCTTAAGGCAAATCAGCATCCATATACTCTGCTTAATTAAGAACCTAAAATGCAATATAATAAATAAATGGGGGAAAAAAAAAAAAAAGAATATTTTCTGAAAAGGCAAAACTTACCCCTTAGAGCAAAAGCTGCAAATCAGCCATTGTGGGCCTAATCTGGGCCACAGACATGTTTTCTTTGATCCCCACTTTTTAAGACAACATATAAAAATCAGGAGATTTCAAACACATAACACATACACACACTCCCCTATTTCAAGCTTCCCTTGAGAAATCAGATCTTTTGGCAACACTGAGCCCTACCCAAATGGTCACAACAGGCTGAAGACAAGCAGCTGTGGCCCCCTTCACAGTGGCTGTGTCCCTTATGGGACACAAGACTCCAGGCTCCCCAGTGACCACCCTCTCTCTGCTTTTCTGACACTCATTGGCAGGTCCTCACAAGCATTTGATTTTGCAATCTTAGAACAATCTCCAAGGGCTACGACTTGTCAGTATGGTATAAACAACTTAGAATGCCATCACAGAAGAGTTTTTCCAGTTTTTTAAAAAAACAATTCCATAGAAAATAAGCAAAACACAAGAATTAAGTTCGGGGAGGAAAGAGAGATCAGACTTACTGGTAAGCCAGGATGGTCTTCAAATCAACTTAGAGCGTCAGAATAAAACTTTTTGGGTTCAATTATTTCAATAAATTTGCAGAGAAATCTTATCAACACTAATAAAAATAGATGGGGCTATCCTAGCATTAATAGCTAATTGATCAAAAGATAAAGTAAAAGAAAGACAAAGATGGTCAAATAAATATGCACTGGAGGTAACATGTAATCACTTATCCACACAGAGGTTTATCCTCAGCAAACTTCTGAAATGTGGCGGTTTCTTCCTGTGTCAGCCAATGGCTAACTGGGCCAGTTTCTAACTTCTCCCTGGGTACTTGATTAAAGAAATATCTATTGAATCTTAAACAGATGCTACTTGAATTATCCGGTGCTTCTTGTATTATATAACTTCTGTTAACATTACACAATAGTTTCACAGTTAAAGGTATTAAGGGGTTTTGATGGAAGGAGAAAGATGGGTGAAACAGACCCTTAATTTTTCAAACGTGTTTCAATCTGAACTACAGTTAGTCAAGAAATTTCACGGTGAAAATGACTCTGCAAGGAGGTTTCCTGTTCAACTAGGATATAAAAGGGGTTAAATAGTAAATGTGCTACTAAACGTTTTGAGGGCTTCTGCTGTCAAAATGAAGGCAAATATAGAATCCTAACCATGGTGGAGGCTTTTAGCGTCCAAAAACCTTAACACATAGTTCCCTAGAAAAGCGTCAGTGGAAGCACAACATGCATGCAGTTCCCGCATGCCAGCAAGGTGACACCAGAAAAGCAATCCTTGGCCTTAGACAGCATCTGGACTAGAAACTCCTACCTTAACACCTGAGACTCACCTACCAGACCAGTTTTCTTTAAGACCCACTTTTATTATTAAAATACATCAGTAGGGGTTTATGAAACATCACAATCAAAAAAATGTAGAGCTTTCCTGTTTGGAACCAAAATAACACAAGTCTGTCATTTCTCAGGGAATTGAGAACCTGTTCTTAAGTCCAAGAATGTCATGGAGGACAATCCCTGACTGCCTGAAGATTGGGGTTCTATACTGTTATGTTCACAGACCCTCAAAGTTGCAAAGTTGCTAAGGGATGTCACAGACTCTAAGGGACGGCTTCCAATAATGGGGCATTTTTATTTTTATTTTATTTTATTTTATTTTATTTGAGATGGAGTCTTGCTCTGTCGCCCAGGCTGGAGTGCAGTGGCATGATTTTGGCTCACTGCAACCTCTGCCTCCCGGGTTCAAGCGATTCTCCTGCCTCAGCTTCCCGAGTAGCTGGGATTACAAGCACATGCCACCACACTGGCTAATTTTGTATTTTTAGTAGAGACAAGGTTTCTCCATGTTGGTCAGGCTGGTCTTGAACTCCTGACCTCAGGTGATCCACCCACCTCGGCCTCCTGAAGTGCTGGGATTGCAGGTGTGAGCCACCATACCTGACCCTAATAAGACATGTTTAACAGTAAATAACAGTACTATCATTTGTATGGTGAAATGCTGTCATACCATCCAAAAATCAAATGGAGAATATTTTATTGGCATGGAAACCGATGTACCATATGTCATTAGGAGATGAAAGCAGTATAATACCCTTTTGGGGGAAAACATGTGTAGGCATAGAAAATATATTATGAGAATATGTATCAGTATTTGGTTATCTTTGAATAATATGATTGTTTTCTGAGTTTTATGCATTGTAAACACTTGTTGGGTTTTTTTGTTTGTGTTTTTGAGACACAATCTTGCTCTGTCGCCCAGGCTGGAGTATAGCAGTGCAAGCATGGCTCACTGCAGCCTCAATTTCTTGGATGCAAGTGATCCTCCTACTTCCGCCTCAAGAAGAGCTGAGACTAAAAGCATGTAGCACAAGCCAAGCTAATTTTTTAATTTTTTGTAGAGACAGAGTCTTACTATGTTGCCCAGGCTGGTCTCAAACTCCTGGGCTCAAGTGATCCTCCTGCTTCAGCCTCCCAAAGTGCTGGAGGATTACAGGCGTGTGCCACTGTGCCTGGCCTATTGGTTTGCTTTTTAAAACTTTTGTTAAAAAAACTGCTTGTGAAAACTGATTCGGCCCTTTATTGCCCTCTGAGTGGTTGGACTGCCTCTCCAACACAAGGTGGTGTTCCCAGGAGATGCCCTGCAGCTCTCCCTGAAGTCAGGGAAGATTCACAGAGTCACCAAGATAAGTCTCCCCTCAACACAGTCCACTGTCACAGAAGCCCCGGGTGAAACTGACTGGTTCAGAGGCACTCCTGGGCCAAGGCGCCCTCGTCCTCCACCAGCAGCCCCTGTGCCCACCACTGCTCCTCAAGAGGGCTACAGCGAGGAAAGGCATAATGACCACTTGTTCCGTGGGGAAGCTGGGCAGCAGGATTACATCTAACACTCTCCCTATGAAAGGTCAGCACCAAGTGGGAGGTGAAGAAAAGCCTGTCGTGTTTCCTTCACGGCCAAGATATAACTCTAAGTCTGATGAGAATGCTCCCTGGGCCACAGGTAGTCCCTAATGGTGACAGACCAGGTGTCATCTCTTCCCAGTGTGGTGACACACAGCAAGTGACTTGCAGGCTTCAGAGACTTCAAGACCAGTGTCTGATGTGAAATTCACAAACGAGGTGAGTACAGCCCAGGTCCTGAAGAAAACTATGGTAATTACAGTATGTGTTCTGTCATGAGAACTCCACCTCTTTGGGAAACAAAAAAATAGGGAAAAGCCACCATTCTCACAAGCCAAGCAAAATGAACCTGCTTATCACCCTAACTTCACACCGAAGCCAAGCACGACAAACAGTGCAATTTTAGCCACAAAGGAAAAAATCCCCTCACTGCAAGAGTCAGGAAAAATGATATTCCCAATGTTTACAATGAGGGAGAACACATTTGGAAGAGCATAGTGGTTTCAGTTCACCTCTATGATGTTTTTCAGTGATAAAAGTTAAAAGAAAGAAATTCATGGAATACTAAAAATTAGAGATTACAGATGAAATACGTATCACTGCTAAAGTATGCTGACCACTTTGCTGCAGTCAGCTCTAACAGTTTATACTCAATTTTAGAGTAATAATCTAAACATTAATTGTTCACATGACCTTGCCTCAATCCGCCCCCAAATTACATATCCTTCACCCCTCGCAAAGCCCCTCTTGGAAACTCACACAGCTGGGCCTCCCTTAGACCCGCCTTCCCAGCAGGCAGAGAGCTCCACTCTTCCCCCTTGCTCCTATGAAGCTCTTGAAGTACCTCATGTGCTAACTCATCCAGAAGAAGAATAACTTTTAAAATTTAAATAGCTACTCTACTGGGTGTCGTTTTAGCAGAAATCACTGCCTTACTGAAAGACTGAAGCCCCACCAGAGCATTTCCATTCCCGAAAAAAAGACAGTACCACACAGAAGCTGAGAACTCTGCCCCATGGCAGGTGGGCATGTGGCCGGCCTCTGGGAGAGGCAGAGATGTGTACGGCCTGGTCTATTCTACATAAACACAGAATAGATTCAGGGAGACAACATGAAGTACGTGACACATCAGAGTGTACAACCAGCTAGTGAACAATGAAGAATAAAATATATGACCAAATCCTAGGAGATACAGAGTAGCATGCTTACAACAGAATAGCTTAAACAAAGCACTGGACCATTAGAGTCAAAAATAAATATTGTGCTTTTTTTTTTCCCTCGCAAGGCTATTCAGTTGAATTCAGTTAAATGGACCAACATCCACTGAATTTCCACTATATGCTAAGTATTGTATTCGATCCTGTTCTTATCAAAACACTACTTTGGAGTAGTGGCCACTTGTGTCATTAACTTTCCTATTCTACATGACCTATTTCATGGTCATAAGAAGGATTCTTGGTTTTCAAAGGGTTGCAGTCGATTAATGGTGAGACAAAACATGTATTTAGCTGATTCGAAATGCATCATATGACATTTCTATCACCTTTACCTTCACAATTATACTGTGATAGGA